TATCTCTCTTGCTGTATCTATTATTCTAAGAAAGTCTCTCGAAACTAATAAACAAAATCGGACGCTTTCTTTGACGTTCTGATCCGACTGCAGTCAACAACTATGATGCTTTGTTCCTTTCCTTGAAACTGGCTCTGGCTACGATTTCCCTCAAGGACGTCATTAACTGGGAAAGCTAGTAATTGGCTTTATGACAAGTGGAAAATTGTTAAATAGGAAGGCAAATGTAAACAAACAATTATACCTGTACATCGTTACTTGTATATCGATATTGTTACTTCTAACGTACTACATAAAACGAAATGGAATGCAACGTTGCAGTACCGGATCTTTCGTGTTTACGCCGTTTGTCACGAGCGGTTCGGGCGAAAAACAACATACAAATAAGAGAAGAAAAGGTCAAGAGATATAAATAATATATAATAATTTGTATGCAGTATTCTTTACCATGGCTATGTATCTATATTTATGTATATACGTGTATTTATGCACCTATTGATCTATCTGGTAATCCATACTTAGAGACAGGCACGGGTAAATCTACAGGTAAAGCCCCGCAACGCTTTTAAGATTCTCGTCACGACAGCGGCAGGAATAGTAATTTTGGCGCAGTCGTGACATCTGGTCAACGTTATTGGGCCGTCGCGAAAGACCTATGGCCGTCACAGTACTATAACGTGACGAGTTACGGAATTTCAAAATCTAATAGAAATTTAGTGTTGTAGCAGATACATGTAGCTGAAGGTCTGTGATTAAATGACAATGTCACGTGTGAATGCTTTGCGCAGTTGCATTACAAAAGATGGCCAGCTTGCATTATAAACCGCAAATGCTGTGTCTGTAGAGCAGAGGCGCCCTTGGCAAAAGGGAACCATTCCCAAAAAGTGACGATAAAATGTATCTTGATACTTTCTACTTCCTAATAATCGGTGTTGGGGATTCTGCCGAGGTAAGCGGTTTATCAGCTGACACTGCATTTTGGGGAAGATGCTGGTACAGCAGGAGCTTGAGCCTGTCCAGCTGCCAATTGCTGTAGCAGATGTAGAAGCTTGGTGGTGAGGGCTGGGCGGGCAGTAGTGGTGAGGAGGCGTGTGTGGTGGTGTCTGTGGTGGAGGGTCGGCCGAGTGAAGCGTGTAGCTAAGGGCACACGTCGTGAAATGTGTGTCGTGACTGACGTGGGTGGACTGGGGCTGCAAGGTAGACACCAGCTTATCATGGAGGCCATCGTCTGCTGGTACTGCTGAGACAGCTGTAGGGAAGAAACAAAAAAATCGATCATGTTCAATATGACGTAATATATTTAATGCAAGGGCCATCACACTGATGCATTCTATAAATCAGGGGTGTCAGTCACTTATCCCAGGGGACCACATTTCACCTTCGCATACCTTATGCGGGCCAGATAATCATAGATGAAAACCACATCTTACCAAAGCAGTATTAAGGCCATAGGGCTGACGTAAAAACATAGGGGACTATTTAATTATTACAAAAACGCAATAACAGAAAATATAGAAAGAACTGTAAGAGTGTAAGCTATATCTTTAAATGTCGAAAGACTGGCTTAATTAATCATGTAAAACTACGACTGGAAGACTGATAAAGCAATTGTGCCCCGGACCGCAAATAGGAGTAGGGTGGTCTATGCATTTGTCACCCCTGCTCCATAGGCACACATTTCAAAATCTGTATTGTAGTACATTATGCAATTATGTGATATGTGTTTTGCTTGCCTTCTCCAGGAGCTGTTTTGGAGGCTCGACTGGTGCCGTACATGATGATCGAGACTTCCACGACGATGGTGTGGAGGCGGGCACGGACGGGTCGACTGGCCGCGCCTATGCCTTGGCTCGCCTCGTCAGCGAGCGCCCCTGCACGTCCGGGATGGAGGTCGTTGATGGTGGTGGTGCTTGCTCCTTCTTCTGGCGAAAGTGCATCAGCGAAATAGTGTTTGCAATCTCACCAAAATTACTTAAGTCGTGGACAGGTGGCAAAGAAGTTGGTGCAACAACACTTTGTAGAATTCAATAGTTTAGCGTGTCTAAATTTGTGCACACAATCCAACGCCAAACGTAGAATCATAACAAGAAGTTGACGGACTCCAAAGGCACGGGGAAGAAATCACGCCTGCTGGAAGAGAAGCGGAAGAACTCTGCACGGTGAAAGTTATTTGATTTTTGCGATTTTTAGTCCATGCACTGATTGGTGACAAAATCGACCCTTGATAGGATTTATTCATATCTGTCTACTGAATACTCAAGTGTGTGTTCATTTTCCATTGTTTAGCTGTGCTTCGTTAAGCCATTCTGAACTCCTTTCCTTCCGTCGTCCATTTCAGTTAAGCAGCTAAAGGCGTGCAATGGCGGCATGCGGACCAGATTTACACGGATTGGTTCAACTCGCTCTGTCAGGGGCCTGTGCTGGAGGAACTGACCCAGCCGTCAGTCCAGTTCTGTCATTTTGCCCTGTTGTTATACATGCATGATCAGAATACATTTTATGTCTGCATACATTGCATGGCTTCAGCTTATAACTTTGCTACTGATATTTCCAACATATATTTCTATGCAACTAAGTTAAGTAAATGGTATAGGCTCATGATATTATCATAAGTCACACATTGGTCAATAGCTAGTTACAAACACGGAGGAGCAGAAAAATATACTTCAGTCCTGAGAAGCGGTGACTGATTCAGCGCTGAAGGCGCTGAGAGTTGCCAGGTAACATCAATACGTTTCCCTATATTAATACATTGGTGATATCACACGCATGTCACAACACCCTACAACACTGATCACTTTTTCTACTGCATCTTTTTCTTCTGCGTCGGTGTGCATCTTGCTCTTGAGGGGCACCACCAGACGCCATCAAGGATTTCGCTTCCTGAGAAGCAGAAATGTTTTCCGTGTACTGGCCCTCAGTAATATATCTAGATATATATATACTTATATAGACCTTGGGTCTATATAAGTTGAAAAACTGGACAAGAGCAGAGCGCAGACTGACCAGTTCATTTCAGTGAGATTTGCGGTCGCAATGACCATTAGCTCTGTCATGACGCAGCTGTAGATCTGTTATGAAGTATTCGCCGTGTACGTTTTCGTGACACATTCATAGACACATCGTGATAAACTCTTCTGAAGCTTGCACAAGGAATTCGCGACGGCTTATAAAGACCTAAGACCGTCAAGACTCGTCACTACTGAACACAAAACTGCGTCAAGACAGAGTTATGACCGCTAATCTTGGCATCGTCCTGACGAGAATATTGAACACTACGGGGTGTTACTTGTATTTTTACGTGTCTGTGTCTCTTTCTACATGTGGATTACCAGATAGATCGGTAGGTACATGGGTACACGCATTTACTGTACATAAATACGAAAACAGATAATAATGTTAAGATGATCATCAATAATGATGATGGGTGCGGTGGCGGTGGTGGTGATGGTGATAATGAGGAGGAGGTGGATAAGGATGACGATGAGGATAATAACAATGCTAATGAAGACGGCAATATTAATGATGCTAATCATTAAGTTAGTGGTGATGATGATAATGATGACAGTATTGATGATGATGATTATAAAGCTGATGACAAGTAATAATGATGACATGTCTACACTGACAATATTTCCAACAATAACTATGATAATCCTAGTAGTAGTAATGTAGCAATAATATTGTATATATATATATATATATATATATATATATATATATATATATATATATATATATATATATATATTATATATGTGTGTGTGTGTGTGTGTTTGTTAGCATCGTCATTGTTATAACATATTATTGTCACCAATCTGTAACGATTGCGAACATTAGCAAACACCGCTACATTTTCTTTAGTTCCTCCAACAAAGCTTTTTCTCTGGCCACATAAAATTAGTTAACAGTATATTTTACACGCCCAACAACATTATCAATATACCGTATGCAGATCTGATAATCCCCTCTGTGATACTGGCTACACATATTAACAAAAGGTCTTCTCTAGCACTAGTAGATATAAAAAGATCAGAAACTGTGACGTTTTCTTAGAGGAACGAATATACAATTGCGAGGCAGATTCTGAGGACATTACAGAGGAAGGGAAAACACGTGAATTGTAAATATGTAAATTTTAATATTTAGATACGATATAACGAATGTGAATGCTTTTTGAGTTTTGAAGGTTAAAACATTTGTCCATTAATGACAGTCTCACAAAAGATTAGAAGGACCGTGGTTTCGATCTAGGGATAATATGATAATTTACTAGTACCTGAATAGGCCAGGTGGAACGTCTGTATCAGACTAGTTACAAAACAGGTAAAATTGTAAAGAAAATAATGAGAAACCACACGGACGGAGGAGGGGGGGTCTGAGGATACAGGACACCCCACTGTACAATTTATCAAATCGAACTGAAAATGATATATGTTTACACACACACACACACACACACACACACACACACACACACACACACACACACACACACACACACACACACATATATATTATATAATTATATATAATATATATATATATATATATATATATATATATATATATATTATATATGTGTGTGTGTGTGTGTTTGTGTGTGTGTAAACATATATTATTTTCAGTTCGATTTGATAAATTGTACAGTGGGGTGTCCTGTATCCTCAGACCCCCCCCCCCCCCCCCGTCCGTGGTTTCTCTCTCTCTCTCTCTCTCTCTCTCTCTCTCTCTTCTCTCTCTCTCTCTCTCTCTCTCTCTCTCTCTCCTCTCTCTCTCTCTCTCCTCTCTCCATACCACACACACACACACCACACACCACACACACACACACACACCACCACACACCACACATATATATATATATATATATAATAATATATTAATATAATATAATATGTGCCTGTGTGTGTGTATATGTGTGTGTGTGGTGTTGTTGTTGTGTGTGTGTGTGGTGTGTGTGTTTGTGGTGTGCGTGTGTGTGTGTGTGTGTTCTGTGT